AATTTTGAACGGAAACTGCTGCTGCTGCTGCTGCTGCTTTCAGACTGTTTTTTTTTTTTTTTTTTTTTTTTTTGGTGGAATGAAATGGAATAATTTTCTGGCGATAACACCAATATACACCATCCACCTCTCTCTCTCTCTCTCTCTCTCTGTTCACCCAATGGGAAGAAGCGGAGGAGGAGGTAGAAGAAAAAAAAGGTAGAGGTAGTGGTATTTTGTATGTAAAAACACGCGTTCCGCAAAATAAACTTGTACTTTTTTTTTCTCCTTCGTTTGTTGTTGTTGTTGTTGTTGGAAGGGAGCAATTTTTTTTCTTCTTTTTTCAAAAAAAAAAAAAATCCAAAAAAGCGATGAAATGCATGATTTGATAATGATGATGATGAGGGAGTTGTGATTGTGGCGCGGCAATTTTTTTTTTTTTTTTGGAAAAATTTTCATTTTCGAATGCGCATGTTCAAATCGAAATCAAAATAATCGAATGTTTATGATGGTGGAGGAGGTTTATTCGATAATGATGATGATGGAGGGAGGTATATCACCCAGAAAAGTCTTTTTCTTTGAAAAAAATATTGATTGATTACCGGATGATACTTTTTGATCAAACAAACAAACAATGAAATGCAACTGCAAATCGATAAAGGTCGATAGGTGTGGATTGCGGGTGATTAGGTCGATAAAGGTATGTTTGATTTAAAAATTCTTTTCTTTTCATTTTTCTCATTTTTCATTGATTTTAAAAGGCGCCAAAAGAAAACGTAAGGCAAAGAAAATAATGTTTGTATTGATCAATCAAAGTAAATAGAGAGGGGGGTAAATCATCGAAAAGTTTTTTCATTTTTTTGGATTTATGGATTCCACGACAACGGTGGTGGAAGCGACTTATGGTGTTTTGTTTTGTTATATTCGCAAATAAGGAGGGAGGAGGGAGAAAGTTCATTCAAAAAAAAATTAAATGAGCTGTGTACCACTACCACAAAAAAAAGTGGCATTTATTTTTTCGGCGTGACGTCACAAATAAATAAAAAATGACGATTGGTGGATGGGGGGAATTTTGTAAAAAAAAAATGTCCAGCCACTTTTTGTTGCCCCGGTCTTCATCGTCGTCAAAAAAAACAAAAAAAAAAAAATCCTGTCCGGCAAAAAAAATTTTTTGCATTAAAAATGTGCTTGGCTTGCTGGCTTACCGCTTCTCGCTCGCTTATTTCCCTTATTTTTTGCCTTGAAGCATTTTTGTATAATGCGCATGATTTTTGTTCGGAGCATGCTCATTTTTTTCAAGGAAAACAAAACAAAAAAAAAATTCGATGATAATGATTATCATCCATTGGGAACCATGATGATCATCATCATCAATTTTGTTGTTGTTGTTGTTATGACTCCACCCGAAACTTAAAAACATCCTTAATATAATATACGTCAGCTGGTGTCACTTTGAACAGGATTTTTTTGTTTTTTTTTTCTTCTTTCAAAATTTTTTTTCTTGGAAAACATGCGTGTAAAATTCAGGGATCCACGCAGCAAAATTGAATATCGACAGAGTGCATACAGCAGCAATGCAAACTGTTTTTTTTGTTTACTACGTCAGACATCATCATCATCATTTTTATATCTTTTTCTTTGAAAAAAATTGGAATTTACACAGCAGATATCACACAACAACCTCTATATAGCAAAAATGAAAATGTTTTTTTTGTTGAAAGATTCCATTACACCAAATGCTATATACAAAAATGTGACGTTACGTCACATTTCAAGTTTTTGTTTTTCGTTGAAAACAAAAAATGTAAAGATTACATATATTGGAAACGCCTGCGTGCAAATCCTGATGATCACAATGATGATGATGATGATGATGATTGAAAATATTCATGCCGCATGCCAATGATGATATTCTATATTGAAAACGAAATTTTTTTTATTGATCCCGGGGTTTGATTTTGTTTGTTTTTCGTTGTTGTTGATGATGATGATGATGACTTTGGCTAGTTTTGAAGATACGGATGTTGAAGAAAAAAAAACCTGAACCAGATTAAAATGAAATTCAGGGAGAAAAAAAATGATAAAATTTTTGTTTTTAAAAAACTTTTGAAAATTTTTTCAAAAAGTTTTTGAATTTCGAATCTTTTTTCAATTCGATTCGTCATTTATGAACAGGATCATTATGAATTCGAATGTTTAGAACAGAAAAAAAGAATCCTTGGCGTTTTGTATCCATGGATTTTTATCATTTTTTTTGGTTGATTTTTGATTTTTGATCAAATCAAATCAACAAACATCTGGATATGATCATCATATAAATGATTAAGTATCGTTATTTTCGTTAATCAAATCACATCAGAATAAAGATTTGAACGCGTGCATAAAAAAAATGATTGCAATGATTTTTTTTTTGTAAATGTCTGATAAGATTATCAGTTTTTTTTGTTTCTCTGGTTGAAATGATGATGTGATCATCCTAACCCAAAATTTATTTTCTGTTGCTTGAAACAATTGAAATTGAAAAAAAAACTTTGAAAAACTCAAAGATTATGAGAATGGAAGGTGAAAATCGAATGTTTTTTTATCATTAGGAAAACTTACCGGGATTTTTTTTTGTTTGGATGAAAAAGCGGAAACGGAAAATTTTCTCGAAAACAGAACACTAAAAAAAAGATTCGAATTTTTTTTCTTTCGAAAAAAACAGAAAAATTTCTCGAAAATCAAACAAAATTCACAAAAAAATTTGAATGAAAAACTTGGCAAGAAAAAGTAAAAATTTTGAAAGAATTAAAAAAAAAATCATTTGATCATTTTGATGGCCAATTTATATATGGTGTGTGGTTTGTTTGTTCGAAGTTTAATTTAGCTCATCATCATCATCATCATCATCATTATCATCATAAAGCCGACCATAATCATATCATTATTATCATCATCGAGTTTAACCAACAATTATCATCAATTTTTCATTGATAACCGAAAAAAAATTAAACTAAACTAAACGACGATAACAACAACAAAAGTTTTTTCTCGACTTAGTTAATCGTTGTTGTTGTTTTTTTGCGACGATGTTCTTCGTTCGTTCATTTTGGATTTTGGATTGTAATTGATAACAACACACACACACACAAATACGCATCATATTGATATAATCATCAAATAAAGAGAGAGAAAAAAAAAGTGATGTGATAAATATGATAAATGATTGCAATGAAATAACGAGAGAAAAAGACAAAAAAAAAACAAAGCAAAAACTAAAAAACATTGATTGATTAATGAAAAGCATCCTTATCCAATATGATGATGCGCATGTGTAATTCGAATATTTTTTTTTTCGTAATTCGAATCTTCGAATGTTTTTTTTTATGTGTCAAATGATATTTATGGTGGTTTGATTTGGTTCGATTTGATTCGATCCAGTCGACAAAATATAGAAAAACCAGAAATCCAACCAGCTTTTTCTTCTTCTTCTTCTTCTTATCAATCAATTTGATGATGATGATAACCGAAATCAATAAATCTTGGTGATAATTGGTGCGATGATGGTCGGATGTGATGATAATCGAAGAAAAGAAAAAAAATGTACATTCCATCGATTCGATTGAAATTCAAATCATAAACGCCCCCGCTCAATCAATCAATCCATCCATTATCTTTACCTTGGTGCAAAAAAATCATCGTAAAAAAATTTCGTCGAAAAACAGCAAAAATGACCTCTGTTTTCATTCATTCAAATGAAGAAGGAAAAAAAATTCATTGAACCATTTCATCATTTTTCATCCGTAAATTATTGATGTTTTCATTGATGTTTTATTCATTGATTAATTATCAATCAAATATAAAATAACAGAATGAATGAATGAGATAGAGAGGGAAAAAAACAATAAAAATTCATTCATTCAAAAAAAAAGACAAGAGAAAAATTACAAAATTTTTAAAAAAATTTACAAAAAGTGAAAAAAAAGCTAAGAAAAATTTTCTTGTTTTGTTTTTTTTTACATTGAAAATTGACCATCACACATTATTGGTTGATTCATTGAAATATTAATTTAACAAAACCTAATTCAGCTTGTTGTAATGGTTGTGCACAGAATGGACACATTGCATGAAAACCATTTGTACCATGTGGTATTAATACTTTTGACCAATATCTTTTGAAACAGAAAAAAACAAATTAATTAATCAATTTTTTTCATTCTTTTTTCAACAGAAACTTACTTTACAGTTGATTCAGATGCCATATGACCACATGGATTGAATGCAAAATTTGGCATCAATGAACTAGTACAAAATGATGGTTCAATACCCATTGTTAATCGAACAATTGGTCCTGATTTGAAACACATTGGACATGTACGTGAATTTGAATGTTTATTTTGGCCCCAATCATGCAGTCCTTGTACATGACCACATTTAAGATAAACATATGGTTGTTTATCATCAGCTGAACCTAATGATATTGATTTACGTGGTATAACCAGCGTATTCAAACCAACTGGACATTGTGGCCTAGATGCATTTAATTGATCAATCATTTCTTCTAATAAACGTTTTGTTGGTGATCGATAAAGACCATCGGATGAACGCCACATTAATGTTGCACCACATAAATCAATTAATGTACCATCTTGTAAAACATTTGTTTCTTGTTCGATACGAATACCTTTTTGTGATGCTGATCTTGTTTCCCGTACTGAATATATTTCACCACAAACTGATACTTCACGCCATACAGCACCACTACTATTACCACCGTTATAACGTAATGATTTTTGTTCCAAATCATCATCATTATCATTTTGACAATTATTATTATTCCATTTATTATCTAAAAATGATTGTTTTGGATGCATAATCAATATACCATTAGTTGTAAGGCCATCAATTTCACCATTTGTTTGCCATTTGGTTGCTTTTTCACCAAGAAAAATATTTTTACTTGAATCAAATCCAGCGGCATAAATACGTGCACAATATGGTGGTCGTCGATCAACCAAAATACGACATGCAAATCTTGATATTGTACTTTGTTGTGCAACTTTTATCGACGGTTGTAATAATGATGATCCGGATGATGCCGATGATGATGATGACATAATATTACCATTCTGTACAGATTGTAAACAACGATTTTGTAATTGTTGTTGTTGTAGCTGCATTTGTTGTTGTTGTTGTTCAAACATCAATGTATCGATAACAACAAAATCGATTGGACTTTCGGATGATCTTCCAATCTAAAAATTCAATGTTCATAACTGAGAAATTTTCATTCAAAAATTTGAAAAAAAAGAATTACCTGAAACATATCGGTATCATCATCATGTTGATATTCAACAATAATTGCCTGTGATCGTGATAATGTAAACGATATTGAATGTTGTTCTTTATCCTGTATTGCTTTTGATGTTTGTGGTTGTTTAACTGTATAATGTTTAGATTTTTTTATACCATTTGCACGTGAACGTCTTTGTAATTGATATTTACTACGTCTACGGCCTTTTTCACCTTGTGGTAAACAACCATTATATCTAAATTTGCAACAACCAAAATAGAAAAATGAAATTCAATTCAACAAAAAATCAAAAAAGAAAAAAAATCTTTACCCTAAAATCACAAGTTCACCATAAACAACAGGAATATTATTATCATCATCATTATCATCACCATGGTTATTATTAACACTTGTTGTTGGTTGTTGTTCCAGCAATTTAATTTCTTGATCTTTATTATCTACATGATCGAATGATGATGATTCATTTGATGATAATTTTATCATTCCATTCATTGATCCATTCATTATCGGTTCATCAATATTTTTATTATTTAAATTCGAATTATTATTATTATTATTATTATTTTCATTCATCATCATCATCATCATTATTGATGATTGTTGTTGTTGTGATGTTGGTGATTGTAACAAATCAATAGATGTTGTTGTTAATTCATTAAATGATCCATTCGATCCATTTGAATTATTACGTAATTGTCCTAGATATGGTATTGAATGACGATTTGGTGGTAATGGTGGTGGTTGTTGTTGTGGTCCATTAGTTGATGATGATGATGATGATTGTGGCTGATGAATCATATTTTTAAAATTGAATTGAATCAAAGATCAAGCTGCCCAAAATTTGATGAAAAATCTTTGATTTTTTTGAAACAAAAAAAAACATAAACAAAGAAAAAAAAATGAAGTAAATTTCCAAGAAATTTTCCCAGAAATTATCACTCAAAAAACATTCGATTCTTGATTCATTCGATAAGTGCGTGTTGGATCACAAAAAATGGATCAAACCAAAAAACCAAACAAATCAAACTTTTTTCACTGATAAACCAATGTGTTTATATAAACAAAACAAAAAAATCTGGTAGAGTCTATTTTCAAACCCAATCTTTTTTTTTGTTTTGTTTTTGTTTATCTTTTTTTTCTTTTCATTCATTTAGATTCTCATTCAAATCATTATTGGATCCACTATCTTGGAGAAACGCATGCAATATAATCATCATCATCATCATCATATGTCAGCTGCTTTTGATTATTAGAAAAAAACAACATTTACACATACTGTGCTCGACGATGATCATATACCAACCATATAATCAAAAAAAAAGGAGAAAAAAAAAGAAAAGAAATACGCCGCAAACAGCTGCATAGATGCAGTCATTGAGAACAAGCAAGCAAGCAAGAAAAAAAAATCGAGATTTTCTTCTTTCTTTCGAAATTCGTCTTTTTTTCTCTGCCTCTGTATTTGTGAATTTTCTTCGTTTATCATAATTTGTCAAACATTTGTGGTTTGGTTGGTTGATTGCAAGATAAAAAAACATATTTGCGCAATTCACTTCATTTATAACTGATTACCGCTAGTTTTTTTTTTCTTGTTCGTTTAGGTTAGGTTAGGTTGATTGACTTCATGTGGGTATTTTTTTAAATTTATTGGTTCGGGATTTGTTTTTTGTTTTTTTATTTTTTTTATTATAAAAATAATTATTATCTTTTTCAGGGTTGATTGACCAGATTATCTTATCTTATTTTAATTAATTAATTAGCCACATTTGTTGTTGATAATTGTTGTTGTTGTTGATGTCGTAAAATTCTTGAATCATATGATAATAATAATTTTTTCACTCGGCTATTTACTGTTTGTAATATAGAATTTATTAATGTTAATCGTCGTTTCAAACCCAATAATCGACGACTTTTTGTTTCAATATCAATGGAAAGATCATCACCAATGTTACCATCGTTACCACCAGATTGAAACATACGTTTCGGATAGATAAACACTGATTGATTATCATTGTTTGATTTTTTTCGATCATCATCATCATTTTGATTATTATCGTTGCCGGATGAATTGGATTTAATTTGATCCAATATTGATAATAAACNCAAGCAAGCAAGAAAAAAAAATCGAGATTTTCTTCTTTCTTTCGAAATTCGTCTTTTTTTCTCTGCCTCTGTATTCAATTTTCTTCGTTTATCATAATTTGTCGTCATTTGTGGTTTGGTTGGTTGATTGCAAGATAAAAAAACAAACATTTGCGCAATTCACTTCATTTATAACTGATTACCGCTAGTTTTTTTTCTCGTTCGTTTAGGTTAGGTTAGGTTGATTGACTTCATGTGGGTATTTTTTTTTAAATTTATTGGTTCGGGATTTGTTTTTTTAATTTTTTTTATTATAAAAAAATAATTATCTTTTTCAGGGTTGATTGACCAGATTATCTTATCATATTTTAATTAATTAATTAATTAGCCACATTTGTTGTTGATGATAATTGTTATTGTTGTTGATGTCGTAAAATTCTTGAATCATATGATAATAATAATTTTTTCACCCGACTATTTACTGTTTGTAATATAGAATTTATTAATGTTAATCGTCGTTTCAATCCCAATAATCGACGACTTTTTGTTTCAATATCGATGGAAAGATCATCGCCATCACCAATGTTACCATCGTTACCGGATTGAAACATACGTTTCGGATAGATAAACACCGATTGATTATCATTGTTTGATTTTTTTCGATCATCATCACCATTTTGATTATTATCGTTGCCGGATGAATTGGATTTAATTTGATCCAATATTGATAATAAACATGAAAGTTCATCATTTAATAGTTGCTGTGATTGTTTAACAGCCATTATTTGTTCATCCAATTTCAATATGAATGGTTGTAATGTTGAAAATAATTCATTCATATTTTGTTCGATTATTTTTTCTGGTTTCGGGTCATCATTTCGATTTGTTTCGTTTTGACTTGCCGTTTGATCATCATCTTGATGTTTTGATGATTCAATTTCATTTTGATCGTTTGTCGCCATCGAAGCCGTTTCATCAGGATTGATCGAAATTTCTTCAGACATAATTCAAAGGGGGAATTTTTTCGTTTTTTTCAAATTGCAAAAAAATTTTTCGAATATTTTTTCGGGATCGAAAAAAAAATGATTCGATTTTCCACCCAGCAAAAAAATGTGCCCGTTCATATACAATGTGTTGTATGTTTGACAAATTTCACGTTGTTTACATTTTTTTTTGTCTTGAACTTTTGTGTGTTTTTTTATTTCCAGAAATTATCATTCAAAGATTAAAGTTTAAAGTAAAAAAAACAAAACAAAAATGAGTTTTTTCGGTAATCCAACACCTGGAACATCAACATCATTGTTTGCTACACAAAATCCAATCGGTTCATCAACAATGTTCAATGTTCCCGGGTCGAATTCACAATCAACACCATTTGGATCATCATCAATCGTACAACAAACTGGTGTTCATAATCCAAATAAAGATATTGAAGTATCATCATCACCTGATGATTCTATTGCTGGTTTAGCATTTTCACCACCAACATTGCCACAAAATTTTTTAATTTCCGGATCATGGGATAATCAAATTCGTTGTTGGGAAATTATCGGTACTACTAATGCATGGCAAACTATTCCAAAAGCACAACAATCACATGCTGGTCCTGTTTTGGATGTTCGTTTTAGTGATGTAAGTTTTGTGTTTCAAAATGAAATTTTTTTTTCAAAACTTTTTCAAAATTAAATTTCAGGATGGTACAAAAGTATTTTCCGCATCAGCCGATAAAACAGTAAAAATGTGGGATCTAGCATCGAATCAACAGATACAAGTTGCACAACATGATCAACCCGTTAAAACATGTCATTTTATAAAGGCACCAAATTATACTTGTTTGATGACAACAAGTTTTGATAAAACAATCAAGGTTAGTGTTTATTTCAATCAATGTTTTTTTTCCTGACCGTTTTTTTCCATTTTAGCTTTGGGATCTACGTCAAGCCCAACCAGCAATGACCGTACAATTGAATGATAAAGTTTTCTGTGCTGATGTTCATTATCCAATGGCCGTTGTATCGTTAGCAAATCGTGCTATTCTAGTTTATTCATTGGAAAATGGTTTACAACAATTTAAACAAATAGAATCACCATTAAAATATCAACATCGTTGTGTATCGATTTTTACCGATAAAGATAAATCAAATAATCCACCAACTGGTTTTGCTGTTGGTAGTGTTGAAGGTCGTGTTGCTATTCAATATTTGAATCCAGCAAATCCTAAAGATAATTTTACATTTAAATGTCATCGTTCAAATGGAACGAATACAAATTTTCAAGATGTTTTTATTGTACATGATATTGCTTTTCATCCACAACATGGTACATTAGCTACTGTTGGTTCGGATGGCCGTTATTCATTTTGGGATAAAGATGCACGTACAAAATTGAAAACATCCGAACAAGTTGAACAACCAATAACACGTTGTGCATTTTCAGCAAGGGGTGAAATTTTCGCTTATTCAGTTAGTTATGATTGGTCAAAAGGACATGAATATTTTAATCCACAGAAAAAAAATTATATTTTTTTACATGGTTGTTTTGAAGAATTACGACCAAGAAAAAAGAATTGATTTCAACCAGCCAGCCACCAAACCTACTTTTTTTCATATCGTCCATATCGTTGTTGTTTAACCCCCTTTAACAACCATTTATTCCAAATTTTTTTTCTATCCCTTTTTGTTCATTTTTGATTTGATAAATAAATAAACGAGAAAAATGATTTTTTTCAACAAAAAAAAATTTTAATTGATTTTCTTTGAAGGGGAAAAAATTGCTTCAATCAAAAAATGAATGGTGGTGGTTAGTAGCCTAAGGGGGTTAATTCACAAAACAATTTGGATTATTCAATCTCATTTTCATAATCAATATTAAACTATGATAATAAATTACCAAACCAAATATAACTAGTATATGAAATAATTGATGTGAATTAAACCATAAACTAAATATTGTTATATTTGGATAAATAGATTCAGGTAATTTAAATATATAGATTAATGAACCAGTTAAAAATGTTATTCCTTGTATAAATATTAATAAATGTGCACGATGATCTAATGATAATAATGATCGATCATTATTCATTTCTCTTGATATCCAATGTATTGCTGGAACAAAAACAAGAAAACCATGTGCCATAAACATTAATGTACGATAATGATGATAACGTGGATTACAGAATGGATCATAAATACAAAACATAACACATATTATTGTACAGATTATAGTAAAACTTATATACCATATTTGTAATAATGGTGAATTATAAAAACCATAATGTATCCATGGTATAAATGAACAACCGATCAATATTGTAATACCACAATAATCCAATCTAAATTTAAATTGTTGATTTTTTTGGTCAACAGAGGGGGAAATTATTAGAGATGATCAGAAAAATTTGAAATAAAAAAAAATCATTCAAAATTATACTTACTTGGCAAATAATTTATTCAGTTTCAATGAATGACTTGAAAATAAATGATACAATGTTGATTGAAATAGGCAAACAAAAACACCGAAAAAAAATACACAAAGATAAAAAAAATCCACTCTAGACATTGATCTTGTATCCGGTGGATTACGACAAACATGTTGAAATAGAAAATAAAACATTATAGCACCACCCATATGTGTCCAAATATTACCCGTTTCATTATGTATTAAAAATAATGAACGAATTGTTTGCCATGATGATAATGTTATTGGACGATAACCGGCAAATATAATACGATTATGTGTACAACACCATGATGGCATTTCAGAAATACTACGCAGAATATGTACATCTGTACAAGTATTACATGCTTCAATTGTTTGACTAAATTCTTCATCATCATCAATATTTTTCTTTCGTCGTTGTTGTCGTGATTTTCTTTGTACTTTTTTTCTTGAATTTTTTGACTTTTTTCCCATTTTACGTAACGTATTAATAAAAAAAAATTAGTAAAAAAAATGATAAAATCTTAAAAAACTTTAAACTTTATGTTTATAAATTCTCACATAACAATATATGATTAATTTAATTTGAAATTTGTAAAAACAAATGGAACAATATTTATTTAATTTTACAACAAAAAAATATTTAAAAAAATAAAATAAAATCATTTACAAGAGTTTTTTATTGTGAATTTTTTGTTTGTTTGTTTGTATAACACAGAATTTCGTAATTGGTCGATTTAATTTTATTATCGTTGTAATATACATCACTATGATGATGATGGCGTTGTCGTTGTTGTTGATGATGATGTCGATGAATTACAGCAAAGTGATGAAAATATTTCAATAAGATTATCAAGACCAAATAGATAGCCATCTTCATGATTACCTAATGTCCATTGATCACGATGATTAATATTTATATCATCGGGCAGTGGATATGTTTTAGCAAAATCAATCATCCAAATATTTGCATGTTGTTGATCATGTACTAATAATAAACTTGAACCAATCATCTGTAAAGTGAAACGAAAAATATTGAAATTTTGTTAATTCAAAAACAAAACAAAAAAAAGTTCAACAACTAACCTCATGTGTTTGAAAAAATTTTGATTGTTCAAGTTGTTTTCGAATAAATTTAAGTTTTTCCAAATAGGTAATCTTTGTTTGTCGAATCAAATTGATAAAAATTGAAATTAATCGAAAAGGTTTTTTTTAAAAAAAAAATCTACTTACCAGATATTCATGTTTATCACCAACAAATTCTAATATAGCCGAACGAACTGATTCGATTGATTTAGTACGTTTAAAATCTTTAACAGTTGCTGTTGTTGTTTTCAGTCGATGATGATTATCACCCGATTTCATACCATCGATACGAAATCCAAGTGTCGATGTTGATGATATTGTTTCACGCCAAACCATATAACGTGGTTTTGTTATTGCTTTTTGTTCTTTTTCTTCATTGCTTGGTTCTTCCGGATCGATAGCCACCATTTTTTCATACATATCTTTACGTAATCTTGGTTTTTCATTAGCTTTGACTAGTTCTTCTTCTAGATATGTTCTTATACCCATTTTTATATCCATTACCGAAGGATTAACAAATGTTGCTAATAGATCTTCTAATTCTAGATAAGCTAAAGAAGAAAAATAGTTTAAAAAAGGATGCTTAAAAACAAACGAAACAAAACCAAAACTTACTATCACCATTAACAATTCGAATATTTTTAAATTCTGGTACCAGTACAGATAATTGTGGATCGGACATTAATTTTTGAAAACAATCAATTTCATTTCCACATAATTTTTTCATTATTGTTCCCTGTATTTGACCGGCAACAAAATTACCTGATTAAAAAAATTAAAAAAAAATTAAATTAAATTAACATCAAACACAGACAGACAAAAGCAAAGAGAGAGAAAAAAAACAAACAAACCTTGATGACCGGCTAATTGTATCCATGGATATTTTTTTCGTTTATATGTCTGTATGAATGGTGATGTAACCAATGATCGTACTTTTCTCCATTTTGAACTCTATAAAATTAAAAAAATAAAATAAAATTAAAAATTTTCAATTAAAAATCCAATAACAGACAATCCATTGAATAGTTTGAATTAGTGATGATGAATTTGATAATAACAAAAACATTGATGAATCTAATTTCAGTAATTTCCAATTTAACCAAAAACAAAACAAAAAAAAAAGTTTTTGCACACACACCCTATACTAAACGTATGATTTGACTATATGATTATTTGGTCATTTGAAATTCGAAAAAAAAAATCCAGTTTCTCTTGTTGATTATTAAGAGAAAAAAAATAGGTCAAATTATTTTCAACCTCGAAATAAACAAGTTAAGAGAAAAAATATTGACCTTTTGATGATGAAGATGATGATGATGATGATGATGTTCATGATTATCATAAGAATTTGATTCTTCTTTTGTTTGATTAACATTATCATCATCATCATCATCATCACCCGATGATCCAGTTGATGATGTTGATGATGAAAGTGATGAAAATATATTCATTGATGAAAATGAATCAATAGATGTATCAGAATCGAAAAAAACATTATCATCACCACTATCATTATTGTTTAAATGATAATTATAACCATTCTTATAATGATCATCATCATTATTATTATTATTATTATCAGCCATATCTGATGATAATTTCATTTAATTAATTGAAAAAAACGGTAACAATTGAAAAAAAACAAAATGGTTGAAAATGGAGAAAAGAAAACCAAAACCAAAACCAAAAAACACTTGTTGCTCAATTAGTAAAGATACAACACACTATATCATCATCATCATCATTATCAGCATCATTTGAGATGTTGTCATCCGGCTTCTTTTTTTTTCTTTCTTTGAATAAGATTAATTAATTAAGATTTTTTTCCTTTCTTGGATTTAAATCAATTGAATTAAAACAAATTTTGATTGAAAACAACAAAATAAATTAAATTAGTGTATATATCTCTATCATTGTTGTTTTTGTTTTTCTTCCCAATCAACTGCTATGTTTATGTCAATAATAAAACAAAAATTAAATGTTTTGTGATTTTTTTTACACTGTCTGGTTAGTTTAGTTCCTCTCCCACTCTCTCTCGATGTTTTTTCCTTAGTCTTCTTCTTCTTCTTTTTCGTTTTCCTATACCATCACAATTGCAATTACAGCCGTATCATCATCATCATGGTTACTTGATTTGTAGTATATCTTGTATTTTTGGTTATTTTGAAAAAAAATATAGAGATAATTTTTGTGTATACAGAGAATCATCAATACTAACCAAAGTTTGCTTTTTGAGAAAAAAAATTTGTACTTTTTTTTTGCAATGGAAAAAATAATAATAATGATGCTCGCGTATACCACAAGGGTTGTGTGGTTAGTTGATTGATTGATTGATTGTAGTTTACTAGCTAGCCAATCAAATCAAATCAGTTTATTACCAATCATAGTAATTATGGTTACAAGCCAACATAGTGGTATACAAAACAAAACAAAAAAAGAATCAAGCATATCGATATATCGATAAATCCAATTCAAATATTTCCATTCAACAACAAACAACAATCTCCTCATTATAAAGCGCGAAAAATTAAATTTGAATTTGGGAGAAAAAAGGTACTTTTTTAAGAAAAAGAAAAATACTATGGAGAAAAAACATAACCTGTTTTGTTTTGGTTGTTTTGAATATCTTTTTTTCAATTTAGTTTTAGGTTTGTTTGCGAATAAAAATTTTTATCCAACAACAACAACAAACATTCAAATGCAACAACAACAAAAAAAACAAGATTATCAAAGGGATGTTGTGTTGAATCGAATCTAATTATTATATAAACACAAGAATCAAAAGCAAAGCAAACCAAACCAAACAAAAACAAACAAACCCTGAAAAAATCACAAAACTCAGGAAATGATAATTAATGTCAAACCAAACCGAAATTTAAAAAATCGATAACTTTAATTTCATTTGATTGATTGATTAAATCATACAAAAAAAAATCGATTCGTTTTTTTTTGTTGTTTGTTGACTTTTTTTGTGACATCCGTTAATATTATATAAATTATGTATGGTGGCATAATAATAATACAAAAGATAACGGATTTTTTTAAAAATTTTATTCATCATCCTCGTGATAATTGAAAATTCTTTATTATTCTGATTAAGGAAATTCATTTTACAATGTAGAAAAAAAAAGTAAAGAATTTTTCCCATTTTTGCTTTGTTTAATTGAAAACCTTCAACCTTCAACGACGATATTTCACAAAGGCGTCATCATCATTATCATAATTTTTTTTATTATTATTCAATTTAAAAATCATCATCATCATTATTATTATCAAAAATTATCATTATCTTTTCATCTAAGTGTGTTTATTCATTTATTCATTCATTCAATTTACAATTGACGTCATCATCATCATCATAATTCAAGATCGATTCAATCAATCAATCAATCGTGATAATCAATTGTGTGAGAAATAAAATAAAACCAATGAAAGAAACCAATGAAAAAAGATAAAGATTTCCTTTATTTTTTCAATCATCATCAGATGTTGAATTTAAATGAGAAAGAAAAGAATTCGACTTACTTTTTTTGCCATTGTTTTTGTTTCCGATTGTTGTTTTGATGATGATGATGATGAATGAAAGACATCAGAATCATAATCAATATAATAATAATCATCATAATCATCATCACCCATCGATGATGATAATGATGATGTTGATGAATATAATGATGATGATGAACAACAACCAAATAATGAATCACGTCTATTATTATTATTATTATTATCATTCGAAGATTCATAACCATTTTCACCTGAATCTGAATCAAATTGTATAATAGAATGTATAATATTATCCATTGTTGAATGATCACTAATAATAACACTTGGTGGTTGTTGTTGTTGTTGAGATTGTATGATTGACGGCAAATGATTATCAATATTTTCGGTGGATATCATCATTGTTTTAGAATTATATACGGTGGTTGTTGTTGTTGTCGTCGATAAAGAATCGGTTGCTGTAATTGGTGATGAAAATATCTGTGGCTGCATAATATCAATATTTGGTTGATGATGATGATGTAATGTTGATGATAATGATAATGATTTTCTTTGTACATGATGACAATGATAATTACAATGATAATGACTAGAATCAAATGATGATGATTTTTGTTGTTTATTTAAATTAATTAATTTTATCGATTGTTGTTGTTGATTGAATTTATTATTCAATGAATTTAACATTGTTATTGGCCATGATGCACGACGTAATTCATCAAATGATTGTTGTTGTTGTTGTTTATGTTGTTGATTTTGTTGATGCTCATGTTGTTGTTGTTGTTGTTTTTTTGATTTTAATTTAGATTTTTGTTGAAAAATTGATTTAGCTTGATGACAAATTGTCTGAATTATTGATGATGATGATGATGACGATGGTAATGATGACGATAATGTTGTTTCAAACATTGAATCAATATTTAAATCAGATGATGATGATAATGATAATGATGTTTGTTTTAATCTTTTTTCAATACAATTTTTATCTAATTCATCATCATTGTTGTTGTTGTCATCGTTATTTTTATTGTTGTTGTTGTTGATGTTTTTGTTGTTGTTGTTGTTGTTATTATCACTATTAATCCTACTATTCATAACTACATTAGCTAATAATAATGATGCGGCGGCAGCGGATGATGATACGGTTGTTACTTTTGTTGTTGTTGTTGTTGTTTTTGTTGTTGACAATGATAATGGTAAACATAATAATAAAGCCATTTGATTGATAAATAAAAAGATTACAATCGAAGAGGAATTAGATTAAAAGATGCTTAAAATTCTTCTTCTTTTTTTTGTTTCACAATGTTGAAAATGTTTTTTTTGAGTAGAATTCACATGATTTGGACGAAAAGAAAAATGATCAAATGTTTTTTTTTTGTTGAAAAAATTAATTGATTGATTTGACCGCAATCGGATCGATACGATTATCGGATTGTTGTCGTAACAACTAACTAACTAACTAACTGACGAAGACAAAAAAAATGAAAGTTTTTTCATGGATTAAACGCGCGCGCAACGATGATTACGATGATGATGATGATAATGTATCTACTACCACCACCACCACCACCACCATCAACATCACACCATCCTGATGATGACGTTTGAACAAACTACCACCACTAAAAGCAAAAAGCAAAAAAGATCAATTTTGACAATTTTTACTAATGAATATAATACATACAAAACATTTGAAAACATCAAAAACACAGTCGACGTATCAAGGGGAATATGATTCTATACTGCAGTAATTATATCCACACCAAACAACAAAAATGAAATGGAAAAAAACACCATGATAGTGACGTTTGAAACGTTTTTTTTTCTCTTTTCAATGTTTTGTAACAAAATGAACAAACAAGAAAAAACAAACAAATTTTGCTTGTTTTGACAAGCATCCATTCGGTTGAATTATTCGAATAATAAAAGATTCGAATCGAATCCGAAAAGATAAAAATAGAATCGATACAATCGATATATGTCTATCGATAGTCACTTTTTTTTTGAAAACATTCGAAATTAATCATTCGAATGATTCGAATGATAATGATGACGCAAATTTTTTTTTTGGCTACAAGGACAAGGAAAAAACATGGATGATAATTAATTGATGAAAAAAATGATATTTTTTTCTTAAAACAAAATTTCCATTTATTTCAAGAAACAAAAAAAAACGTCTCAAGTTATAAATAAATATTTTCAAAGATTTTCCCAGCAAAAAAAAAAATCAAAAAACTCCTTTTTGGCCGAAAAAAACTTGAAAAACTAAACTCAGGTACAAACAGGTGGCCACAATTATCATCATCACTTGTTGTTACCATCATTCATCATACTTGTTGCATTGATAAAAATAGCAACAACAACAACACTAATCATAAGTATAGCATCCTTTATTTATTTATAATTTTATTTATAATTTTTTTTTTCAATTTCAAAACAGAAACAATTTCCAAACATATAAATTTTGATCAAATGTTTGACGTCATTATCATTGAAATGTTTGTGATGATGATGATCAACAATAATAATGATTGAAAATTGAATTGAACAATAATTGAACACAATAATAACAACGAGAAGAAAAAAAAATCGGATTGATTGAAATTTTTTTGAAGAAAAAAACAAGGAAATGTGGTGGGGAAACAAAATTTTTTTTTTATTTGTTAATCAAAAATAATACAGTGTGTTACCACCACCAACAACCGGATAATAATGCCTTTAGCATAAAATCTCTAATGATAATGATGTTGTCTGTTTGTGTTCTGTGTGTGAACGTGACCAGATGAACGTTTCTATTTTAAAGATTAAAACTAAAATGAATGAATCAATGATACATGAATTTTTCAAGTTGACATTGGGCATTTTTTTTCAAAAAAAAAAAAAGAAAACGACGCCAAACGAAACGAAACAACCTAACCTGGTTTATTTAACCTGACCAGGTAGGAATTAATAAATCGATTTTTTTTTAATTTTGCAAAAAAAAATTACTTATTTTTTATTTTTTTGTTCAAAAATTTTTTTCTTTATAGCATTTAATCGTGATTGTTTAATTTGTTGTTCCATATCTGTTGTTTTCATCATTTGCATAGTTGTCGTCTGCTGCTGCTGTTGTTTGAAATTATCCGATTTTTGTTGTTGTTGCTGTTTGGATGATGATGATGATGATAAGGCAAGTTTCTTTGAAATTTCCGTACAAAAAATTGAATCTAATAATTTTTCATCATTATCATTACAGTCATTTTCTTTCAACATTTTTGATATGATTGAATTATCTAAACAATGATTATAATGATAAAAACATTCTAATGAACAAAATTGCCATAATGAACCACGCATTTTACAGAATTTTTCCGAACATTTAAAACATTTTTCAATGATAATATCACGTTCAAATCTAGTATCACATGTATATTTTCGATATCGAATTGGTAATGGATGAAACATTGATATTGATTTAAATTTTTGTTGAAAACATTTTATCGTACAATAATGTTCAATTTTCATTGATGAAAGTGATGATTTAGTTGTTGATTTATCATCATCATCATTAAATTTCATAATAGCAATCATATCTGAATGTGATTTTGTAATCAATTTACATTGTTGACATTGAACATTAAATTGATAATCTCGGCGAAATTTTCGATAACATTTCGATGAACAAATTGGATACAATGACCATAAACAACGAATTAAATAATAACGATATTGATCATCATATTGACTGTGATCAACCGAAATTCGACCAAAACAAACCGTACAATCCAAATGATTTTGTCGAGCTAAATGTTGTAGTTGTTGTTTAAAATATAATAATTTACAATATTTTGTACAAAATGATAAATTTTTTTCATCAAAAAATTGATCATCAAGATATGAAATATCTGTTGATAATTCTTGTTGACATGTTGTACATTTTGGTGGACGTTTTACAGATTTTCCACTAAATATCCTTACACGGATATCATTTTGATGTTTATGACATAAATCCAATGTAACGATTTGATCATTTTCACATTTCATTCGAATCGATTTTATCGTATCACCTAATTCTTCATGTAATTCTTGTTGACATATATAACATCTTTGATTTCGTTGTAAATATTGTTGATAATGTTCGTTATTATGAAATATTTCCAAATAATCATGACCAATATCATTAGGATGATACATTGTAAATGAATATGATGATGATTGCCAATCTAATGGCCTGTCATTCAATAATGAGGTTGTTTCAGGATCTGATTGACGATAACAATAAGTACAACGACCATTATTACGTACATTCATTGATAAACATTGAATGGAACAAAAATCTTTAAATTGAAATTGAAAAAATTGTTGTTGTGTTTGTCCAAAACGATAATAATAACGACATGTATAACATTTGAAAATGAAACGATATTTTTTTGGAACAATTTTCGGTGGTTGATCATTATGGACACCCAATATTTGATATTGAAAATCTTCTAGCGACATGGCTGATTTCAGGAATGGATCAAGATTGAGAGCACGAAGATGATTAGAAGTTTTAGCCGAATCTAATGATTCAATCATTGAATCAAATTGATCATCAAAAATTTGATTTTGTTCTTCATCGTCGACGAGAATATCTTCTTTGGATTCTTCAGAATCTTCAGGTTGAGCATTCGAATGATGACCAGTTTGCAAAGCAAATAATGCCTGTTGATATTTATCAATAAATTTCGGTCGGTTAATTCTTGCCGATCCATATGCTGTTTGAAGAATTTTTGGACCAATTCGACGAAAAAATGTCAACAATTCGGGTTTTTGTTCAAAATCTTCAAACATTTCGACGATCGATTCATTTTTGGATCGATGAATAAAACGAAAATAATTTGGATTTATTGATGTCAGGCTAAAACCAGTTGGTATTTTAAGATGATCGAACAGGATTTTCGTGATTCTTGATGATGAATCTTTTTTACCATTTTCATCGAATTTTTCTTCTGAAAAGATTTCTTTCAGCCATTTTTCTCGAATGATTTTTTCCGAATTTGTCTCAGCCACAGCCAAAGAAGATTCGGAGATTTTTTGTTTTCGTAATTTTTCCAACGATAAAGATTCTTTTAATCGTTCGAATAATAACTGAAATTCATAATGCGGGCAATATTCATCGTCATCTTTATCTTCGATTTTTTCCTGATCATCAGTAATGATTGTAGCCAAATCTGAACGGTAATCATTTTCATTTTCGGTTGTAAACAAATCAATTTCGTTACCAATTACCAAGCCATAATCATTTGATGATGGTGATGGATATTTGAATTTTTTTCGATACGATGAACCATTATCATCACCACCGCGAATTGTCGATGATCGTTGACGGTTTTTAGATTTTATCATTTTTTTTTTCTAATTTTGAANATCAAGATTGAGAGCACGAAGATGATTAGAAGTTTTAGCCGAATCTAATGATTCAATCATTGAATCAAATTGATCATCAAAAATTTGATTTTGTTCTTCATCGTCGACGACAATATCTTCTTTGGATTCTTCTGATTGAGTATTCGAATGATGATCAGTTTGCAAAGCAAATAATGCCTGTTGATATTTATCAATAAATTTCGCCCGGTTAATTCTTGCCGATCCATATGCTGTTTGAAGAATTTTCGGGCCAATTCGGCGAAAAAATGTTAATAATTCGGGTTTGCGATCAAAATCTTCAAACATTTCGGCGATCGATTCATTTTTTGATCGATGAATAAAACGAAAATAATTTGGATTTATTGATGTTAGGCTAAAACCAGTTGGTATTTTAAGATGATCGAACAAGATTTTCGTGATTCTTGATGATGAATCTTTTTTACCATTTTCATCGAATTTATCTTCCGAAAAGATTTCTTTCAACCATTTTTCTCGAATAATTTTTTTCGAATTTATTCCAATTTCAGCCACAGTCAAAGAAGATTCGGAGATTTTTTGTTTTCGTAATTTTTCCAACGATAACGATTCTTTTAAACGTTCGAATAATAATTGAAATTCATAATGCGGGCAATATTCATCGTCATCTTTATCGTCGATTTTTTCCTGATCATCAGTATTGATTGTAGCCAAATCTGAACGGCAATCATTTTCATTTTCGGTTGTAAACAAATCAATTTCGTTACCAATTACCAAGCCATAATCATTTGATGCTGGTGATGGATATTTGAATTTTTTTCGATACGACGAACCACCATCATCACCACCACGAATTGTTGATGATCGTTGACGGTTTTTAGATTTTATCATTTTTGTTTTTTCTAATTTTGAAAATTTCAATTTTTTTCAAGAAATAAAAAAAATCGAACGCTCTGAAAAAAAATGGAATTTTTCCGATTTATACGTTGCAAGTAGCGGTGAAAATATGCAAAAACATTCGAAAATCCAATTTATACGCGATATTTATCATCAACATGATCTTCTCATGAAGATTTCTTGTCAAAATTTTGAAAAATCATCAACAACAACGAAATAAAATGGACGAAATAAAAATTCCATCGGATAATAATTTTGATCAAAAAACAGCCCGTTTACTTGTCGAAAATTATGCAACATTAATTGTTGATCAATTTCCTGAAGGATCTGAATTTGGTATCGATCTTTTTATTAATTATACGGGGAAAAATTTTCTTGGTTTAAAAATGATACCACCGGGTTTACATTTCGTACATTTTAGTTTGGTTAATAATCAAACCCGGTCGGTTGCACCAAGAATTGGTTTCTTTCATTATTTTCAATCGAAAGAATTTTATTCTGTTCGCTGGAATTCACAACAAGAAGATATTGATTTTAATGTACATTCAGATGAACAACGAAAAAGATTTCATGAAAATTTCAATCAAGGTTACCTTGATAATCAACTTGGTAAGTTGGTTTTCGAAATTTTGAATTTCAAAAAAAAAAATTTCATAATTTTCTTCCATAACAAAGGTGCATATCAATTTGATTCATATCAAACATGGGTTACATTAACTGATTTTATTACTGAATCATTATTTTTGAAAATGAATCCTGAATGTGGTAAAATTTATTCAGCTTCAAATTTAGTTTATAAAACTTTGAATACCACTGCCACTACCACCGATACTGCTAATTCTGAATCGATTGAATCAAAAAATCATCGTCATTGTCCGGTTGATCATCAAGGTTTGCCGGATATGATTATATCACCGGAATGTGCCATCAGATTTCCATCTGCACCATTACCGAAACATTTCCTTTATCCGGAAGGATCTAGACCAACGGAAATTACCGAACATTCATTAGATTCATCATATACATTGGAATTTCTTATCCGTGAAAAACATCAAACAAATCAATTTGATTTATTTGGTGAATTACAATTTGCATTCATCGTATTTCTTTTTGGTCATCAATATGAATCATTTGAACATTGGGAACAATTAATTCGTGTAATATGTTCATGTCGAAAAGCATTGATTGAAAAATTGGAATTTTTTCTTACATTCATTCGAGTATTATATTTTGAATTGAAACAAATTGATCAACAAATATTTGCCGATATTGTTACTAATGAAAATCGTATTTATTATTCATTGCAAACATTTTTCCTTAATATTCATTCAATGAAAAATATGATACAACCGAATCTTTTGGAAAGAGTGGAAAATTTTCGAAAATTTCTTTCCAAAACATTGCGTTGGAATTTTGGTAAACAAAACAACAATCAAGAAGACCTGCAGGATGATGATGATGAAAATATTCCTGAAGATGAAAAACCAGTCGTTGTTTTGATGTAGGAGAAAATTTTCCAAAATGGAAGAAAAAAATTGAAGAAAATTGAAAAAACTGAAAACCAAACAAAAGAAAAGAAAACGGTAAGTAAATAACTTTACTCCCGAGAATATTATATGTGTAATTTTTGCTCTGTTTTGTTGTTTTCCTTTGATCATTAATCTCTTCTTTGCTTTTGAATTTTCTTTTTTCCTTTATTCTTTATATAGAGAGAGAAACTGTTTCTGGAGAAACAAAAAAATGATAAATGATGGACGTTATCAGAAAAATATTTTCGTTGTTGTTGTTGTTGTTCCAAAAAGTTAGCCCATAAACAACAGCAAAAAGAAAAAGAAAATTACCTTATGAGACCCACTATATGGGAAATACATTTTTTTTATAATAAAGAAAAATGTTTCTCGACAACAACGAAAAAAACGAAACATAACAAAACATCCATGTCATAAGAGATGAAACCAAAAACAAACACACAGTGGTCTTCAAACTCTTCTGGATATAGGTTTGTTTGGGAAAATAAAGGAAATCCACATAAATGAACCCAAAAATGGTAAACTATGGTTAAAATCTATGATTTATATACATGGCTCACTGATTTGACTTTCTATTGTTTCATTTTATCATCATCATTTTATCTTCATTTATTCCGCTCTATAACAACAACAACAACAACCAAACCAAATGGAATGGAAAAAAAAACATCACAATTTGTATTTTTGTGTAAAAATTTACATACAACCAAAACGTCAGAATCTCAGGCAAAAAAAAAAAATATTAACATTTAAATTATATAATAATCATGCCAACAACAACAACAACAATCACTTCGTTTTTTTTTGGTTACTTTTTTTCATATTCAAGTAAAAAAAAAAATAAAATAAAAAAATATACATTTTTTTTTTGGATGAGTTTATGGCAGGGGGAAATTATTGTTATATAATCACACCACTGTGTGGGGGGAAAAAGAATTT